CCAGGTCGGTGGGCTGCCCAGCACAGATGCCCCACCCTGAGATAAGACACCTTCCCATTCTTGCAATTACCTCCAGGCTATTTCTTGGGTAGAGAATTTTATTATCTTCTTCCTGTCATTGGTGACCTATCGCCTAATTCCTGGTGAATTTTGGGGGTGTCAGTGCTGGTTCTATCAGTTCCAGATTGCTGCTGTTATTTGCCTGCTGTGTTGCAACTTTAGGCCCAACCCCTGAGCAGTATAGTATGTACAGGGTTGAATATGAATATATTATGAACAGGATTGAGCCAGAAAACTTCCTCTCCTGTGTATCTCCTGTTTCTGGTTCTGTCCTTTTTCCTGCTCTGGGTAGCCCTTTCCCACTCTGACATCTACCCACATCAGAGCCCCAGCCAGCCTCTGATTCCCTCCAGGATTCTCCCACAGTTTTTGGTTCATAAGCTTGGCTAACCTGTAAGCAGAAACTAAGCATGTGAATTCCCAACTCATTTTCATAGGTGGGATGTCCTCATATACTATCAGAGGAGTGGATATTAAAAGCACCCAAAGTAATTCATTTTCATCATGGAATTCTTCTGACTGTGTGAATGTACCACACATTGTTTTGCCCTTTATTGTTCCTGGGTAATTCAGTACTTTAGATATGGGTTATAAACAGAACTGCTGGAATCATTGTTAGAGTCTTTGCTTGACATATGTGCTCATTGGTGCTGGGCATTTTCCTAGCGTGGAAACTGCTGGGTCATAGAGTATACATATGTTCAGCTTTGGATAATGCTGCCAAGACATTTTCCAAAGTGTTCGCTCCAACTGATGTCCCTAGTAGAGTGTGACAGCTCTTTAATGAACATATATTAAGTACACAAGGTAGTGAGTTTTACCATGACAGTTTGATGCAGGCATATAATATGTCTTGATCACATTCATCTCAATGATGTTTTCTTGTCCCTCTATCTGCTTTCTCCTTCCATATCCCCCAAAGCCCCTCTTCTTGCTTTCATGTGCTTCCCATACCTAAATTCTGCATAAGAGCAAATGCTTGTCTTTCTGTGTTTGGGTAATCTCACTGATGATGATGATCTCTGCCTCCATCCATTATTTTTTGTGGCTGAATTAAGCTCCATTTTGTAAGTATGGCCTGCTTTATTCATTCAGCTGGCAATGAATATTCCGACTGATTCTGTGACTTGGCTATTGTAAACACCGCAGTGATAAAGATGTGTGCACAGGCATTTCTGTAGTACCCTGCTTGTGTTTCTTCTGAGTGTTTACCCGAGTGGCAAAGCTGGCTGGTCTGAGAAGTCTGAGTTTGTTTGTTTGTTTGTTTGTTTGTTTGTAGAGCTTTTGCTCTGATTTCTATACTGTATGAACATCCCATCAGTATTGAATATGGAATATGATTCTCCAGATCCTGACCAACACACAGCATTTTCACAATTATCACTTAAGCCAATTTAGCAACTGACTTATGATTTTTAACCTACCTTATGCGTTTTGTCTGTATCCCTCTCATTTTCTGTGGGATCTTGGGGGAGGAGTTCAGATGCAGATCTAAAAGCCACATGTTTTAATCAGCATTCCCGAGCTAAGGAGAGTCAATAGGCTCAAGACCCGTATTGAAAATCAGACTGGCTTGAGGATATAGTCCAATTCAACTGCAAAGGAGAGACAAGGTCAACATCCCATATCCACAAAGGCAAGACTTTCCTCTTTTCATAGGTGAATCAGCCCTTTGTGGTATTCAGGCCTTCAGCTGAGTGGTTGAGCACTGTTACAAAATCCCCCAATTCAAATGTTAATCTTATCCTAACCACTCTCTCATATGCACACAGAATCATGTCTGACCACTCTAGGTACTCAATAGCTCAGGGAAGTTGACAAACAAATTATAACTATACCTTGTTATCGCCTTGCCTGAAACCATTCTTTTTTATTGCTGGATAGTGTTCTACTGTGTTTGAGCATACATCTATGCTTTACAAAAGTGAAGCAAATGCATTCATTATTTTCTTTAATACTGTACTTGTGAATTTAAACTACAGTGTCAATCATTGTCATTGCTTATATAGTATTTCATTGATAACTATATGGGAATCTATTCACTCAGCTGACAGGCCTGTGGGTAGTTTCTGCTTCCAAATGGCACATTGCTTTTGTGAATGTTTAGGGTACTGTCCATATGTTTCTTAAAAGTATTACAGAGGGTTCTTTTGAAATATCTCCTTGCACGTGTACACAAGCATTTTTCTTGGGAGGTCAAAGGCCATGTAATTGTCTACCTGGACATGCAGAAAAGCCCTTCACCATCTACTGACTGTCCATGACAACTGCCATCTTCTCTCCTACTACTACCATTACTCTATGACCTAACCAGTCTTTCCTCTCTCAGACATTTCTCATGAAATTTCTTAAAGAAATACTTTCAAGGACACCTACATGATTAGTTGAACATGGAAAAGTCAAGCTAGGGCTCTAGCCTTTACCCTACTGAATACTGTTTGTGGTACTGGGAAATTCTTTGCTCGTCACCAGAGGAGAACGACAAGACCAAACTTTTTGATACACTGGTATAATTGGAACACAAAAGTTGTTTTGGGAGTAGCCAGCCACTATCTGATTGGATTTAAAGTCCACACTGAGATGTAACCCATCCCAGATACTGCTCAGGTGGCCAAGAACTTGAGACTAGATAGGCCATAGACCTTGGGTGCATGCAAATGTGCAGAGAGTAAGGGACCTTAGAACACTCAGTCCTAAATGGAATATCTCCATCAAATCCCTCTCCTTCGTGGTCACGGAAGTAGAAAGTTTGTAAGGGACAGTGGGGATGGAGGACAGCAAGAGGAAAGGTCTTTTCAATACAGCATGACTGCAGCACGTGTGACCTCCCAGAGACTGTGGCAGCATGCACAGGATCAGCATCTAGGGGTCCAAGATAGATGACATCCCAGTGCTGAGAGAGAAAGTGGACACAAGTCCTCATCCCTAACCCAGAAGCTATCTCCAACTGGCAATGGCTCATGAGTTAAAAATTAACTTCCTCTGACAGGATCTCACTACAGCTATACTTGAGGTTAGGTTCCATGCCCATCGGAAGATGGCCGACACTAAATGAACTCAGTGGTATTTTTGAAGGGTTCTTTTTTTGTCTCATTATTCATAATACTTTGTGCATTAAGCTTATAGGTAGGTCTTTTGCTTACATATTATGGTTTCTAAGTTCGAATTTTCATGGGATTTCTGTACATGCAAATGTGTGTCTCTGTTTATGTCTATATGTTTCTTTTACTTTTTCCTTGGCTCTTTTTTTTCCCTCTTTGTTCATTTATTTTGTCCCATTCTGGCTTACTTGTGTTTTTGTTTGTTTGTTTGTTTGTTTGTTTGTTTGTTTGTTTGTTTTTCTTCTTCTAGTATGAGACAGGAAAAGAAAGGATATGGATTTGTGGGAGGAGAGGTAGGGAAAAACTCAGAAGAGTTGTGGCAAGAGAAAACCATGATCAAAATATATTGTATGGAAAAACCTTCTTTCAAAAAGAAAGAAAACAATACAGTCGAAGTGAAAAAAAAAACTTATAGAAAAAAATGCATGTTTTTAAAAAGTGCAGTATAATGATCATCCCCACAGTTAACACATTTAAATAACCCAATATACACAGGACCATGCATCACGACATTCTGCTCTCTGAAGTTACCATGCCAACTGAGTTCCATCAGGATGAAAATATACCTCCCTGCTCCCTTTTCAAATTTTCCTTTAATCTTGTCAGCATTTTGGGATTGTCATCTCTTGTTGTCACTGTGATTTTGAGTTAAAGTTCTGCTTAGATGGTTTTGCATAATTGTTAATGTGGTTGAGTGTCTTCCCATGTTCATTTGCCAGATGGACTTGTCACAAATGTGTTTGTTTTGTCCTTGGGTCATGATTTAATTTTGACCCTTTCTCTAAGAAGGCACTCTTCCTGGCATCTTGCTGATGTCCTTCATTGTTGACTTGATGCTTCCTCATCTCCAGATAAGGCACACTAGAGCTTCCCCAGGTTATTTCAGAAGTCATGGTCTTTCCTGTAACCTTTGCCAGGGGCAGTAAAGCAACAGTTGGCTTGCCTGGCTCACAGACGGGTTCTAACTGTAGGGAATCAGGCTTGTGGCTTAGGTTTGTGCCTGGTCCATTACCTTATTTATGAAAACCTCACATCCTAGAGAGTATTTGAGACTGAATGACATTGGTCTGTGCTACAGTAAATTCTGAGTATTCTGGGAAGAAGCTGAGCTGACCACACTGGAGGAGAAGAGTTCTCATAGGATACCCCAAGTCATGTTATAAGAGACCATGGTTTACTGAAAAACATGGACCCCTGCCTCCAAGTTAGTACTGCCTGTGAAAACCTCAGTAGAAGCTTGGGTACTGTTTGATTGCATTTAGTGAAGCAAAGTGTTACATTGCCAAATAAATGACTGGGTGAGGATACTAAGTCAGAAAGCAATTTCAGCTGAAACAGACACATAACTGTAACTGATTTCAGAAGTACAATCATGATCTGAATTAATGGACCAAATAAATATCCCAATTACTGCATAGTGGAAGCTGGAGCAGAGGTGAAGGTCTATCGCACAAGTCAGGGAAACACTGGACAGGAAAGCTCAGCCAGAGAGACGAGAGCACAGCCTTGAGGGATGCCCTTATGATCTGTGTTCAGGCTGTTCAGGCTGCCCTGAACAGATCTGTGCGATGGTGAGGGCTGTGCTGGCTTCAGGATCCTAACTGCACATGAGAGAGCAGCACGTGGATCTGCCTTGTTGTCAGGCAGAACTCTTCAGTGAGGTGGGCTCAGCGAGGGCTCTGTGCCTCTGCTCTTGTGAGCAATAGCCAGGAGCCTTGAGAGGCAGAAGACTCACTGAGCAATCAATCAGCAGCCGCTGCCCCGATTCTCGGGAGGCCAAGTGGACTCTCTTACGCGGTTGCTGGTACAGGGACAGTGAGACTTGACCCTGACTGAGCCATGCCAGCCAACTTCACAGAGGGCAGCTTTCATGCCAACCAGACTGTGTCGGTGCTAGATTCTTCCCCAGTAGCTTGCACTGAAATTGTGACTTTCACTGAAGTGTTGGAGGCAGAGGAGTGGGGCTCCTTCTATTCCTCCTTTAAGGTAAGTACCCTGGCTTTAAAGGTGGAGCAGGCAGGACCAGAGGGGGCTTGAGAGTGTCAGAGCTGCTACTTAGAATGGTTTTCATTTTCTTTCTTTTGCATCCTTTTTCTTTTCTTTATTCTTAAAAACTAAGGAAGAGGAGGAATCCTTTTAAATAATTAGTTTAAATAATCAGAACTTCATAGTCTTCAAAGCTCCCTGCTGTGGCTTCTCAAGAATGCAGATGTGTTTTTGCTGTTTCTGTGTAAATTTGTAACTTGTCAGTGACACTTATCAGTGCTATATTTCACTCTCTGTCTCACTGGCAGAGAGCGTACAGTTAACCCTAGAGTAGTGTGGGAAGGGTCTGTTTCTAGCAAAAATAGCAGGTTCTATAAAACTAGACATATTTTTTTTCCTCAGTGCATGCTCATTGTGCTGTTGGATTTTGTTGTTGTTTTGTTTTTTAAAGGAACATTGGAAAATTGGGAAGCCACATCCATAGGGGCAGTGGCTGACCCCAATGGAAGGGAGGGAGGACCTCTCTTTTTGCTGTGTCTTCTCAATGAACATTAGTGAGAAATAAGTTCTGTTGAGTTGTTAGTGGTGGTGTTTGCAACAGGTTGCTGCCTAGAAGAAAAGAAAAGAATCTGAGTTTGGTGGGTTTCATCTTCGTAGTATCAAAGGAAGATAGCTCTCGTTAAGCTATCATTGTCCCGGTTCTCTAGAAACATCTAGTAGACAAGAATAAATAGAGTATGGGGAAAGTATGAGCTTGTTGCTTTGCACATGCAAACACTAGGTCGTGGGGCCATGTCACACCCAGCCTGCCTAATGTGCGTCATGTGAGTAAGTCACCTTACTAAGTCACAATCCGCGTGTCTGTCATTTGTGTACAAAAGAGAGTTCTTCCAGATAAGACCTAGTCACTGCTCTGTTTTGATGCTATTGCTGGTAATTCTCTAGTGTTCTTGAGATGATTTGGGTTGTACAATTGGACTTATAATTACCATGACAGTCACCCTCTGTAAGACAAGTTCACTCCGTCCTCCCAATTTACAGTGCTCTTCAGCTGGGAGCTGTCCAGGAAGTCAGGCAGCTTCTTCCTCAGTGGCAGAGTCCCAGAGTGAATTACTATATTGCATCTGGCTTCAGGGGACCCAGTCTAACATATCTGTCCTTGCATGAACACACACACACACACACACACACACACACACACACACACACATACACACACACACACACAGTCTCGCATGTCCAGCAAAACTGCTCTTAAGTTCTCAAGTTCATTACCACTCACTAGAGTTTGAATGCTGCCTTGTGTGAAACCAGCCTGAGCTCCAGAGTGGATCTCAGCAGGTTACCTGTGCCCAGGAAGCTTGCGTTCTGCAGCGCTACTGCCAAGTTGCCTTTGATGTTTATGAAACCTGACAGCAAGCATACTGAAGGACTGGCTTTTCCCAAAGAGGTAATGATCAACAATAAGGCTATTGTTCTGAAGCTCAGGAAATAAGCACTCTTTGCTGAAGGGTCATTTACCATCTTGAAACCCGCTGGAGAGGGTGTTTTGAACACATAAATTAATTCCTGCACCCTGGCTCATCACTATTATTAGAACCCTCTGTCCCAGTGATGTCTTTGTCACTAGACACTGGAGAATTGCATCCTCTGTTTCACTCCTGTAGTTAAGCTTGTGGCCAGTGCATAAAGAAAACCAGAGAAAAAATTATGCCCATTGAAAGCTAGGGGTGTTTAGTGTTCTGTTTCATTTGTGAGAAATACAGCATTGACTATAGCAGATATTTTCTGATACACAAAAATCAGGGAAGAAGCCTTGGCAACCCAGCCTCAGTCTTAGTGGCTGTCTTTGAGCAAAAGCAGTTCTGCTACACTGTCCATACAGAAGCCTGCCTGAGATTTAAACCCTTGCCAGCCGTGGTTCCTTTTATGACACGTAATTCTAATGTAAAATGTCAAAAATGTGCCCTATTTACTACTTCCTAAATGTGCCCCTCTAATTTAGGCTGCCTTTGCAAAAGAAACATAAAGTAGAAATGATGGCAGCAGTCAAAGAGCAGAAATTCCACCAACAGCAGTCGCCCTACATCATACTTGGAAAAGAGCCAAGTTGTGTGGCCTCCATGAGGCAGATCTTGTCATTCCCAGACTCATGGCATAAGTACTTGGTTTCCATCTTCAGCTTGGTTTATCTGAATTTTTCCTGTTCTTCAAGTTTCATCGGGGGTTGCTTCCTCCAGGAAGCCACCCACCCCCTTATTGTTTCTTGAGCTCTGGGCTTGCATGTCTTCTTACTGTTTCATATAGCTGTCTCAGACTTCTGACACACCATTTCTAGTGTGAATGTGCTACAGACTCTGAGATCCTTATATGGGTTTCACATTCTTTCCTAGACCCGCTTTTCTAGGCACATTTGATAAATAGTTGGAGCATAAACAATGTCTGGCATTCTTCTCTAGTCCTCAACAATCACTGGAATGAGCAAGACAACACTGGTTGTCTCTGTGGAAGAGCAGGGGACGCTGGTGATACACCATTCATTCTGCCAGTCCATCCTCATGGTTTCTGCCAACTATAATCAGCAGTGGAAAGAGCACGTTCACCCAATGCCTACTCCATTTCAAAGCCAATGGGACTAAGGTCAGTCTTGAATTCCCATGACTGAAGCCCTGAGATCCTGACAGTGTCAGGATAAGTCCTGGAAAATTCCACCTACCCAATCACAGCCTATGTTGTTTCAACTTTTTAGCCCACATCTCTGGGACTACTTTGCATCCGTGTTTTCTCTCAACCACAGCTATGTTGGTGAAGGCACGACATCCATGTGTCTGGCTTTTTGACTCTTTCTTCTCATGCTTAGAACCTTTCCCTTTCAGCCATTTCTAACCCCCCCCCCCATTTTAACCTCAGCCCTCACTGTCCCACACTGCTGCACTGTCCTCTGCATGTCAGACCCCCCCAAAACTCAAAAGCAAGGTCGGGTGTGAGCTTGCCTCTCACCTATCCGCATCTCAGTCCTCCTCAGTAGCTAAGCGTGGAGACATGCAGCTGTTGTCCTGAAGTTTTCAACTGAGGCCTTGGTGTGCTTCAGTTTGCAGTTTTCTCTACCTTAAATGTCACACCCGGTTCACCTCCCCGTAGCTGAGAAGTCACAGCATTGAGAGATTATCTGAGCCTTGAGAACCCACCAGTTTTCAAGTACCTACCTCATTAGAATGTATGTAATTCTATCCAAACACAAGACAAAGGCAAAACATGTCAAACAAAAGCTTTCATCTAACAGGTGAGTTAGTTAGCGTTGTTTCTGGAACTTGGTGAGTGATGAGAAATCTAATTTAAAGAAAGTGGGAGGGAGATATGCCTGAATCATTAAATTAGCTAAATTGTAAAATAGTGCAAATGAAACTCAGTCTTATTAGTCATAGTCAAAGGGAAGAATGTGAACTAAGACTGCTAAATATTACCTAATCATGATCTTCCATCAAGCCTCCTTCAGAGCATAGTTTCAAATGATATGCAATTAGTTTAACTATTGTTTGCATGGAAATGGTGGCTCCTGAGTGCTGATGGGACATAGTTGCTCACTGTGCGTTCTCACCCGCCCTGCCCTGCTGGCCTACTGGCAGCTCTTTAAACATTACCTTTCTCCCTGTTCTAACAAAAGAAAACTTTAACTGAACCTGCCCCAATTATCTACACAGTGAAAACTCCACTTAAGCTTCTGTGCACTGCGAGCTCTGTTTAGCTGGACAGCTCCTTTTTAAGACCCTACCTGCCTGTCCTGTGCTAACATTTCCACATTCTGCAGCTCTCAGTTCAATACCTTCTGCTGACTTGTCTGATCCTCTGAAAACCTCCTTTTCACCTATTTTGTACACCCTATAAGCCCTGGTGACAGCACTGACTACGCCAAAGCCAGTTATGGACTTTTAAATCCTCTTCTAATTGGTTTCTCTCAGATGTTCATTTGGTTTCTCCAATTGCAGCCTATGGCTGTCCCCAAGGGGAAGCCTTACTTAGCATCATTCAGGCAAATGTCTATTAAATCTATGTCCTTTCCTGATTTCCTCTGTTATGCAGACCTAGCATAGCAGTGAGTCAACGCTCACTCTGGGTTACAGTCAGTCCAAGTCCATTTCCTGTAAGATGGGCATTGTTGATGACTTCATAAGGATGGCATGTAATTGACCAGCTCTTTACTAGTGTATGAAGAGGTTATCTTCTGTTAAACTTCCCTGCATTATTAACAAATTGGATATCAAGAAGCATAATCTTGGTTAATGCAGACAAAATGTAATGATCGGAGTGATTGTCAGTCCAGGGAGGACTTTTTCAGGCACCGACTTGAGGAAGTCACCTCACACCAAGGACAGCCTCCTATGTGCATGGAAAGCATGACAGTGGTCATGGGCATCATCCTGTAATGTTAGCATCAGGGCAAGGGGGCACTAACTGAGAGGAAGAATTCCAGAACACCGATCCTTCTCTGGACCACAGTCTCGAGAAAGGGCAGTGTCCTTTTGTGACAGTTCCTTCGCGTTCCCGGTCCTTGAGTCTCTCTTTTCCTCTTCCCTTTGCTGGCTAAACCTCCCTTACCTTACAGTAAATGGAAATATGACATTTCCTCCAGCCAGCTCTGGGCTGCAGGAAAGCAGTGGCCCTGTCTCTGTTTCCTTCTCTCCCAACAGTTCCGTCTCAAATGCATATCTTCATGACATCTGGGAAAATCCAGAGTCTGGTTTCTCCCGGTTCCTTTTAATCCTGTGGTCTCTTCACCTGTCAGGTTCTTTCTCATGCAGGTCTCTTTCCAAGGAGAAGAGGCAATGCAATCGTTCGTTCTCCACGTGTTTCCTCACATCTCATACCACATACTAACCAACACTCCTGTCTCTTCAGCCTCCTATCTGTGATAAGAAGTTTTCTTCCAGTGTTCTTCTACATTTATGGCGAGGCTCTCTGATCTAAATGATCAAAGATGCATCGTGTATGTGTGTGTGAGG